TACGCTTTTTATTGGAAGCCAAAACAACACCTTTGTAGCATTATGATGACTCGCAGAGGCCTTGCCTTACAAGAAGAGTCTAAACTTAAGCTAGCGCTAAGGGAATTGAATGCTTCCAGGGAGTTGTGTGCTCAGTTAACATTAGAGAGAGAGGACAATGAAAGAGAACTGTTGGAAGTGCTAGAGGCCAATAAAAAGCTTAAAGCCGAACTATCATTGATATTTCAGCAAAATAACACACTTCAGGATGAGTGTGACTTGCTGAAAAGTCAATTGGACAAGCTTGATGGCTATGGCTTAGAATATGAAAGTGCCTTGAAACGCTAGCTAATCTTGAAAGGGAATTGTATGAAGCTAATCAACATATTATAAAGCTTGAAGAAGACTCACAGCAAAAGTCAGAGACTATAACACAAGACCTTTTTAAAGACTTAGTTTACAATAGTTCACTTTCAAAATCTAATTCCTCTACAGCATTTAAAAATATTAATGGATGTAGTATAAAAAGAATAAAGAAATACATTAAAATCAATAAATTTGTAACTAAAACTCAAAAATTACTGAAAAAGTACAACATTGTATTAGATAGTAAAAAAATAATGAAGGAAAACATAAAACTTAAAACTAATATTGACATGCACTTAATTGAACCTCCACAAGTGAAACAGCAATATGACTCATTTGGTGAACATATTGCAGAAAAATTAAGAAATTTGCCGGCTACATACTGCCAAAAAATAATTAATGATGCGATATTCATGGCTGAGACCAATAATTTAACTATTCATTCGCACATTGTAAACACTCATTTAAACCAGAACAATGCAAATAATTCGCAAATATATATGAATCTGCCAAACCAGAATAATGACAATTCTGTTTTTGTGAATAATTCAGTAAATGAGCCTGGATCTTCACAATAGCACCGTAATGTATTGTATGAAGCATTTTACCGCTATAGGCGACACAGATTCAGACAACACTAAATAATTACTTTTACTCTAAAAAATTATTGTAATGCTCGACAATAAAAATACTAAATACACATTGTATTATTTACTTACCTTCATATAACTCTTCAAAACCGTTTATTAGTGAAAATTTTTAATAGTAGTGCTGTTCTGTAGAGGTAACTAGATTTATAGTGAGCAGAAACCGGGGTTCCGCCCCCAACCAGCAGCCCCTTAATTTAGATAAAAGTTTTTACCCTCAATCCGCCAGACGGCTACCTACCTCTAGACATATCGGACATTAAAATCGGATGAGAAATATCCCATTAAACCACGAGGAAACTGATTATTGGGTGTGAACCTAGTTAAGCTGCAGCCTAGGGCGCGACGATCTAGGGGGGGCGCGGGCGCCCTGAAATCATGTCTTCGCTAGTATCATTCCCTGTATATTTCAACTAGACCGACACAAAACACTAAATGAACTATGAACTGGGTCTACAAGCAGATGGCAAATTTTAGTATCCAAATTAGATGAAGAATCGATGGTACTTAAAAATCTGTCAAAAACTCGATAAAATCAAAGTAATGAGACCAAAATATGTTGTGCCTTTGGATGGTGCTCGTAAAGTTTCTAATCGTTAGTACACAGCTACAAGCAAGTTCTGTTGTTTTATCTGGCTTTGTTACTCTTTATGAGACATTGCTTATCTTAATACGTTGCATGACGGAAAAGAGTTTAAAAATTTGGAATCAGAGACAATCAAGAGATGCGAAGTGACCACATACAAAAAAGATGTAAGAAGAAGAAAGAAACCAAAATTTCATTTTGATGAAGTTAAAACGGGGCACATTGAGTTAGAAGGGAGGCGATCTTTTATCGTTTAAAAATATTATGCAGCTATTGATTGCCTTAAACACAACGTTTGGTTTCTTATGGTAACTGTATGAACTAGACGATAGTGATTTATTAGAAGCAAAGCAAAGGAGTAAAAGCAACTATATTCCACTGATTTAGGAGAAACCTTTGCAGAATTCCCTAAAGAACATTCTCTCAAACCGAGTAGTGGCCGACTGGAACAGGCTTCCGGAAAGTGTAATCAGTGCACCATCTTTGAACTCCTTTAAAAATAGATTGGATAGTTTCTCCAAATCTCAAAATACACGCTCATCAGCTTATTCAGCTGCTAGAGTGGGTATATACATAATAATAATTATAATAATAAAACCTGACACCGAGGCCGAGCATTATATTTCTGCCAGAACCCTCAGTGTGGTTTTACAGTGACGCTTTCGCCAGCGCAGTTGGTAAGCGTCGCGGGCCACGAGCTTTGCGTCTCATGGATCATTACATAGTCACGCGGATGGCCCGCGTTGACGGCAATTCAGCCGCGCTTTTCAACCGCGTGCGGGCGAGGAGTCATTGTGTTCAGTGTGCGTTGCACAGTCTCGCCGGTCGGACGCGCGCATGCGTACCGTCGTCGCCAAAATGAATGCGAATTATATCGATACGGGTCGATTGATTGAAGAAGTTCGCTTTCGACCGTTGCTGTGGGATCCATCGAACGAATTATACAAAAACAAAGACGCAAAAATAAGGCTTGGGAAGAAGTTGGAGAAGCAATCTTTGGAGAAAATTACATAAAGAAAGACAAAGGTATGTTTATAAAATTTGTATTTTTATCAATTACATTTATAATATAAAATTTATATTATGTTGGTATAAAAGTCGTCGTTAAACATATGTAGGGTAAGATTTCAATCGATATGTAGGGTAAGATAAGGTAAATTGATCAATTTTACTTGTTGGAGCACTATCTTTATGGATTTAAAAATAAGACAAAAATATGCCAGACATAAGCTCTGACGATTTGTCATTTTTTAATTCTCTAGGTCCAATACTAAAATCTTTTAACAGTTATAAAAAACTATTATTTCGTGCCAAAGTATTGCAAATCGCCATGGATCTCTCCGCGCCAACTTCAAGTGGCACTACGTCGACGTCCAACATCTTGTCACCAGAACATAACTCAAATTCTACTACAACATCAACAACCAATCATTCTAATGATACTACTACGCAACGAGGTTATCAATCAGCAAGTCAATATTACACCGTCATGTCACCAGAAAATGATTCTAATTCTTCTGTAATGTGTGCAACCAATTCATCATATTTTTCAAACCAAACGCTACCAGTCAACGAATCAATGTCTAGTACCACCACTCAGCAAGGCTATCAAACAGCAAATCAATATGATCCTCATTCAACAGTCAATAATTCTGTTCAGCAAAGCTGTGAAGAAATACAGCACTTTCCAAATATTGCATCAGAAAACGACAATTTCTATTAATTACATTTCAACGAGTTTTGTTTTTTTGATTGTTTAAATTTGTAAATAAAGTAATTACTAAAAATTAAATAGTATTTTTCATGCCACTTACCTTAAGGTAATCGCCAACTTTTCAACTGGTTCTATAGGTGCTCGACGTAAACTTGATCTTTTTAAATTATGTTCTATCTTGCAGAGTAATTCATCAAATGTTGTTATAGACAGACGAAAATGTTTAAAGAACTTGTCACTATGTTCTCTTAAATCCGCAAACGATGTAGAGAACGCGCCTCTCAGCAATCTAGTGGCATTGTAAGGATGTACTTGTATACGTCGTCGTCGTTGCCTTTTTTTCCATAAGTAATATAGTATAATAAATACGAGAAGTCTCATCACGACTGTATGAGCCGGCAAACCGATCACGACTGTACGAGGCGGCTAACCGCGCGACTAGCTTTAAAACTAGTTTTAAGTTTCGAGCGGGTCATCCGCGCGCTTACCACCCGCGCGGACAGAAGCGTCACTGTAAAACCACACTCAAGCGTTTGTTGCAGTTAATAATAAGTTATATTTGATGCATGTTCCCGAATGTGGAGATAACATTTTTTTGGACAATGACTGTTACCAACTGCAGCGGCGAAAGGTCTTTTAAAGCACTTAAAAGAGTAAAGAATACTTGCGCTCCACACTCCACCAGCAAAAACTTGCAGCGCTCTCGCTAATGTACACAGAATGTGATTTTTAAAGACTATTATATTTGGAAAAATTGTGGAAAAATTTGCTAACGCTAAAGCAAGTAAAAGGTCTTTTGTATAAGCTAATAATGAGTAGGTACTTAATTTTTTTAGCAGTTGACAAAACGTTTCACTTGTTTGATTGCTCTTGTCTTTTTTAAATGTGTATTCCTATAAGTATTGCAATAATGATTGTTTATTCTCTCTAGATTTTTCTCTACTATATATTGTATTGTATTGTATAAGACCTTCTGTCGATCCGAAGTGCTGGAGGCCTGATGACCTGTAACACTAGTACTATTACCTTTAGCAGGCATCAGTCTCACACAAACTAGCTTTTTCCCTAAACAGAAGTAAGACAATTATTTAGTTATAATAGTATATAACTATCACTTGTTTATGTCCTAAGTTTTTGTGAGAAATAAATAAAGATTATAATTATTATTATTCTTTTTTAAAGATAACAACAGAAGTGTAAATATTTTAAGAATAACTTAAAGTCGAAGCAACATCACACACTAGGTGACAACGTCTATGGTTAATAGCCGCAACAACTAAGTTGTCCATAGAAACAAAGCCGCCAAATACGACATGGATTTGGTTTTCTACTTGGTACCCTGTCATCTTTTGGTCGTATAATGCGTGAGGTGCTTTGCCTTTGTGTACGATCAGCTAAAAATGGTTACATGTCGGCTGCAAATTAAAGGACAGCGTTCGTTTCGCTTGCAGATCGATTTGTAAACTTTCATAGATAGTATGAACCATGTTAAAATTTTCACACTAGTAAACAAAGTCAAAACTAATATACTACTTTTTAGACCGACCGTAACACACCTGTCACCCGGCCGTGGCGCATCCTGGCGCATCCATAAATAGCCTAGAGCGGTCAGAACTCTTGATCTGTCTCTGGGTGGATATGCCCCACTCAAGATCACTCCACTATCGAAAAACAAGATTAAGGTCGTTTTCGAAAAAGACGAACACAGATGCTTGGTATTTTCAGGCCTGAGAATAATGGATGGAAGTTAGAAGACAACCAGTATCAATTCGATTGGTTCGATGGAGACCAATTACCAGCTTTCGTCAGTGAATCGCTTGACAAAAACTCAGGTATTTTCCTAAAATTTCTTTTATATATTTAAAGCTATTCGATTCTTAATTATGTTATTTGTTTTTACAGAGGCCGAAACGAATAATGCTGATATTGATGACGATGATGATGACATAGACACTCAATACAAAGATATTGATGTAAAACCTTCATATTTAGAATTTGAATTGTATTCCATTAACCTATTGTCAACTGTCACTCTCTGAATTCTGTCAATCAATTTTTGCCAATAAAAGTTGTATTTGAACGTTGGCTTATTAAAGCATAATATTTGTGTACAAAACTATAATATGGTAGCAGAGCGTGGTTCGATTTGATTGGACCAACGTTTTCAACGAAGATTGAACGAAACAAATAGTGTTTTCTGGGACATTTTCATCTCATAACCTGGTAGTGATAGTTGCTGGAATTTTGGTGACTGACAATCATGGAATTTCAAGGTATTGAGAAGTTGAAGGGTTCGGAAAACTGGAATATTTGGAAATTTGGAGGAAACTGATGGAGCCTATGAAGTCAGTATTGGAGAGTTGACTAAACCGGTGCTGGTTGATAATGCGACGGCGGATCAACGTGCGGCTCACGCAGCAGCAATGAAAGTTTGGGACAAAGCAGATCGCGTAGCTTGTCAAATCATCGTCAAGACAATTGATTCGAACGTTGGCTTAGGCTGCCAGTCCACCAGAGCGGAGCGAGGCAGCGGAGCCGAGAAACGGAGAAATATTAACCAATAGGATTGCACAAAATCTCCGCTCCTCTTAAGTGGACAGGGACTTGCGAGCTAGTTTAAAATTTCATATAAAACCGGTATGCGGAGCGGGGAAACGGAGCGGGGATGCGGAGCGGGGAAGCGAGTGCGGGCGCGGGCGCACTTTGCGCCGGCAGTGTGCCGCCGTATTCCGACCAGTGCGTATGTGACCGAAGATAATGGATGAAAAACTTATTGAAAGTGTGAAAAAGTTTCCGTGCATTTGGAACACATCTTCAGAATTTTACAAATGCAACGAAACAAAAGATGCTGCGTGGGACCAAATTATCATTGAAACAAACATATCGGATGGTAAATAATATGTATCTTTATTCTATAATACCTTCTAGTAGGTACATATTGATATCTTTTTTTTTATTTAACAAAATAGCCTATATAATGTAATAGCCTAAATAGTTAAATAATGTCCGCAGCTGGCCAAATTATCTATATCTGTCTCACATCACTGACTATTATAGATTCTTTTCAAAATTCGAGTATCTTGCCATGGTACCTTCCCCTGATTATTAAAGTATGAACAATACATTTCACGAACTTGATAACCATCGTTACTAGAATGTTGTGTTTCTATAATATCACCAACTGATAATAATGATTGCTCCATGTTATTTTCAATATTGTTTATATAATTAGGTTGTCTTTGAATTAAATAATTGTGCAAAACACATGTTGCTTTTATTACCTTGTCAACTGTTTCTATTTTGCATTCAAAATCTTTATGATACACGTACCACTTTCTCGTCAATACACCGAAAGTTGCCTCAACAATACGACGTGCTCTTGATAATCGGTAATTAAAAATTTTTTTTCTGCGTTAAGTCCATCACGTGGGTAAGGCCTCATAAAATTTTCCATTAATGGAAAAGCTTCGTCTCCTATAAATACGAACGGCATTTTTGCTCCACCTTGATAAAATGGTACCGGCTGAGGTAAATTCAATCTCTTTTCTTTTAGACTCTTTCCGAAAATGCTGTTATCAAAAATTCCTGCATCAGAAAATCTTCCCATAGATCCCACATCAGCCATTATGATTTTCCTTTTGGCATCAGCTAAACACATCAATACTACAGAAAATCTCTTTTTTGTAGTTGAAAAACGAGGACCCGGTTTTCGAGGGAGCCTTGATATATACGTGCTTGCCATCAAGAGCACCTATACAATTTTTAAATTGCCATAGTTCATCAAAATCTTTTACGATTTCTTTCCAGTCGTTTTCTGTTGGTTGTGACATGACAAGAGGTTGCAATATATTCCATAAAGCATCACAAACCTCCTCAACAATTCTTGATACACTTTTCAATCCAATTCTAAAATTCTCTCCCATCGTTGTAAATGACTGGCCGGTTGCTAAATACCTAAAAAAAACGTATTTAATTGTACTTCGCGTAAGTGATGTAATATTTTTGTCATAAATAGACCATGTAATACATTTTTGTGTTTGTTGATTGTTTCAGTTACAACTGCCAAGTCGCGATGGAAACAACTGAGAGATAACCATCGGGATGCCTTAAAAGACAAAATGCAACAAGGAGTGGACAGGCTAGAAAACAACGAAAAGAATGGAAATATCAAAAAGCCATGTCATTTTTATTGCCTTACATGAGTAACAGAGACCGGTCAACAAATTTTACGCCCCTGGACCACTCAGTAAGCGAAACTTCAAATCCGCCAAATACCATTGAAGAGAGTTCACGGGAATCATGCAATTTTTTGCCATCAAATTCAAATAATCTTCCTTCTGCCGATGATCCTAAGAATCCAACAGCTTCGGAATCTCTTCCATCAACATCCAAAAAAGAAAGAACGATGAAATTCTAGATTATTTAAAAAAAATCAAGAACGCCGCGAAGTGTTGGAACGAGAACGGATAGAACTTAAAAACATGATGTCAGCCAGTGATAAATACGATGAAATAGACTTATTTTTTTTAAATTTGGCTGCATCGACAAAAAAGCTGCCGTATTATTTTCAACTTCAAATTAAAAAAACCTGCTTTAATGCGGTAATGTCAGCTGAAGAAAGTAATCTTCAACATAGTTGGTATTCACCGAATAATTATGGTTATTCTACAGGCTCAACACCTACATCAGATAACATCAACACTAGTATCGATACTCCTAGTGCTTCAGATAATATCAACACTAGTATCAATATTCCTAGTGCTTCAGATAATATCAACACTAGTCTTAATATTCCTAGTGCTTCAGATAATACCAACACTAGTGTCAATATTCCTAGTGCTTCAGATAATATTAACACTAGTATCATTAATCCTAGCGCTTTACAAATTCCAACAACCCAGGATATTGAAACATCTGCAGCAGAGCCAACAGAACCCAATGAAAATGCGGTCAATTTTGAGACAGATTACGATTTTTAAATTAATATAACATGGCTTCTATAACTGTATGCAAAAATAAAAGTTACTTTGATTTAAAATGTGTACTTACTTTAAACACACCGCTAATCTTTCACGGCTACTAATTGAATTTCTGTAATTTGTGTCTTGTTTCCGAATATATGGTTCAATCAGGAGTGAAGTTCATAAAAAGTACATCTTGAAACTCTATAAGAATTTTCGAAAGTTTCTTCATCAGCTGTTTGGAAAAAAGTAAAATATTCACTGTGTTCTGAACGATGTTTGATATGATTTCTTAACCAAAATCTATGTTTCCTCATAGAATTGTTCAAATGGTATATGGTAAGTATTTCGGCTTCTTCTGACTCCAACTCTTCTTCCTCAAGCAATGTAAGGTAATAATGTATCAACTTTTTCGATGGCATGTCTGCTATCACTGACATTTCGCGTAGAATTAAACCAATCGCCCCACGCCGGGAGCTCGAAATCACTCGTCGCGTACTTGCTGCCTAGCTCCGCATATTGAAAAACACAGCAACTCCGCTCCGCATTACTTCCTCACTCCGCTCCGCAGCCTCGCTCCGCTCCGGTGGACAGTCACAGTACGCAACTCCACTCCGCATTAGTCCGTTTCTCGGCTCCGCTGCCTCGCTCCGCTCTGGTGGACTGGCAGCCTAATTAAAGCATATTATTTGTGTACAAAACTATAATAAAAGATTGGCTAGATGACGAGTTATCAAATATCAACGATGACGACGACGAAAATTAAAATCTACAATGTACTTATTATTGGAGAATAACTAATCTTGAATACATTTTTTTATAATACTTTCTCAACATATTTTTTTACATTTTGTAGAAAAATGCGAATAAATATTTTTTTATAGAATTAAATGGTAGTAACAAAATCAATTTTCTAATAACTTTTAGTATGAACCTTTCGCCCATAAGTTAACAATTTCTATCATACTGAAATTTATAATTTGTAATTGAGCACTAAAATATGGTTTAATCATTACTCAAAAATCTTACAAGACTGAAAGTAAACATAAATTTAATGGGCCTGTGATATAAAACCATTATGTGCGCGCTCATACTCACGGCGAGATTTTAAATATGTCTGGCGGATATTTGGCCCCTACAATTTGTCTGGCTGTTTGCAAATAGTGTTGAAATAGTTTTCAAAATATCATGTATGAAAATCAAGACTCAGACTAAGTAAACTTGCGTTATTTTTCGCTATCGCGAACTTTAAAGCGTCTGGCGGAAATAACCGCCGACGAAAACTGTCTGGCAATGTTAATTTTAAATTTCTAATAAAATTGTATAAAATATATACAAAAATTATCACTCATACTTTAAGAAAAGTAAACGATATTTTTATTTACCTTTAGCAGGTATGTTTACCTTCAGACTATACACTAACACTACTCTGTACGATACATTTTGTTACTTAGAAAAGAAGTAACGTCTGGCGGCCCTGGGCTCTTGGACTATAAGAACTAAGGTAAGAAATATGTCATGAAAAAAGCAAAAGCCGTAGACGAAAAAACGATGGGGCCATCATGTCAATGCCATTACGAATGTCCTGATAAAATATCTCACCAACAGCGGTTGGAATGCTTCACAAAATTTCACAAAATCGAGCTATGCAGTGGAATTTCATCATCAAATATTCCGATAAAATGAAAAAGAATAGATGCCTGAATCAAGACACTCCTAATAATAGAAAGCATACTTTTAAGTATTATCTGCGCTGATCACAGGTTCTAGCGAATCTTACTGCGAGAAAACCGAAGTATGCCAAACTATGTTTATTAATACTCTTGCCATTTCAACTCGTATCTTAAAAACTGCATGGAAGAAGTACGATGGAAGTGCTATTTTGGAAGAGGACAGACGGGGTCGCCACGATAAAAATGCACAAACCTTTTTAACCTGATTGATAAAAGACTACTTCCAAGCAGACAATTTTGAAGAAAACCCCTTGATCGCTGGTCATGAACTGGTAAATTCTGGTCGCTGTAACTCACGCCGTTAACAATTGGTGGATACAGAATTGCGAACCTGCGTTACGCGGA